TCCAGTTTCTGCTGCCACCGGTCCGTTTCTCGCCCAGCGGGGACCGAGAGAGGGGTGCTGGGAGAAGCCAAATCCGACCCCCAATGGCGGCGCTTCGCTGGGAGAACAGACCTGATGAGACTGTCGTCCTGAAAATTAAACCTTCTCCTCACTCTCCATCCGATGCCGGCAGCTCTCCCAGCGAGCTTGAGCCAGTCCTGGGAGCAGCCTAGAAGGGGGTTGGGGGGTGCTCAGCAGCAGTATGACGCTGCACCTTACCCTCTGTGCCCGCCCCCTCCCCCTGCACCCAGGGTCCTGGTAGAAGGGGGTAGCTGTGTTCTTCTGCCACGCTGGAACATGCTCCTGGGCCCTAGGCGCAAGACCCCTGAGTCCCGGGCAGAAACTGCCGGAGAGAGCCTTGATACTTGCTTGGACAGTTGCATCAGGGGTAGCAAGTACCCTTTTCTTTGGTTCTGATGAGGGTCCTGAGCATGTATGCCAAGCACCTGCCACAGTGTTCAGTACACAGCAAGGGTCAACCCAGTGGTTCAGGAACTCTGGGACTTCCTACACGCAGACCTCTGCGAACTTACCTACCTGCCTTTTTTTTTTTTTTAGTTGAAAACAGGTTGATTGAGGTATAATTGACAAACACTACATTGCATATCAAGGATACAACTTGATAAGTTTTTTTTTTCTTATTGCTGTTTTTTTTTTGTTTGTTTTTCATCATTCTTCATTTTGTGCATTTTCCAGGTTTATAGTTGTTCATTTTTACTCTCTCTCTCTCTCTCTCTCTTTTACTGCACAGAAGTCACCTGAAGCTTTCACCCTGTGTAGAGCAGTTTGCAATGAGTGTGAGAGTTTCAAGTGTAGTTATTTGGAAGAGTAAGAGGTTGGATTTTGGAACATAGAGCTATCCTGGGAAAACCACACTCCCAAGATTTTTTCCAGGAAAATAAAAAAGCAAGTTCATTAATGAAATCTTTCACTAACTGCTGTCTTGTAGGATATTTCATTATGATTTAATAATTTTAGTCCCATTTTACAGATAAAGAGACTCAAGTTACACCGCCAAGAATTGTTTAAAAATGCAATTGCAAGCAGCAGACAGCTCTTCACATTTCAAACTCTGCTCTTCTTTGCTACCTACACTGGCTTTTGACCTGCCTATTTGTGCTATTTATAGTTTCTGCATTTACCACTTTTTCCCCTTGGTAAAATCTTCCAGTTTGTTAACTGTGCTGAAGGAAGACAGAGGAAAAAGTACATCTGCACTTGTATCTGGGTTCAAAATCCCAGGCAGGGTGTTGAGGTGGGGTGTGAGTAAGCAGAGTGGTAGAAAAGGAGGGTGGAGGGAAGCCAAGCTTCCAAGAGCTCTAGTGGCCAGCCATTAGGGAAGCCCCCTGAGGATCCCCTCTGGCTGTGACCAAGAATTGCCAGTGCCTTCACTGCAGCTCTCCCACACTTCTCACACTAAGGAGCAAGGCAGTCTGCAAGCGCCCAGTCTCAGGTGGGAAGGATGCTTGGCCCAAAAATGGCACAGCATTAGGCCTGCTGGGGAGAGGGTGAGGGAGGGGGGCTGGCCTGGCAGCCAGGGCATCAGCACCTCAGGGAGGACAGACAGAGAGGCATTCAGAGGTTGAAATAGGGAGAGACAAAGGTGGGAAGGAAGCTCTAGAATGAGGGAGAGACAGGAACCCAGAGGGGGAACAAGGGAGCTATTCAGAGTTAGAGAGAGAGGGGAGGTCACTGGGGAGAGAAAGAAAAGACAGAAAGAGGGGAGAAAAGAGACAGGCAAGGGGGTAGTGGACAAGAAAGGAAGGGGACAAAGAAAGCAGAGGAAGAGAGCTTGGAGGAGTGAGAAAGATAAGCAGAAAAGAGACAAAGGAGAGGAGAGAAAAGGGGAGAAGGTAGCGGAGGAGAGGGGAAGAGGCAACAGAAAAAGAGAGAAGGTCGGAAGAGAAAGGAAGAACCAGAGGGGTTGGGGAGGCGAGGGAAAGTAGAGCTGGGGAGGAAGATGGAGGTAGCGAGAAGAGCTGGAGAGAGAGTGAGCAGCGTCGGGGACTGAGGGGCCGGTGGGTGGGACCGAAAGCTAAGCCTTTTCTTTCAGTCTTTTGGGGGTGGGCGGCGGATCTCCGCCGAGATAACCTAGCCAAGCCCCCTGCCCCGCATCCCAGCGAGGGGCCGCAGCTGTATAAATACCGGGGGTGGGGGAGCGGGGCTGCAGCCCAGGGGTCAACGACACCGGAGAAGGCTTTGCTGTCATTAGCTAATTGAGCCCCAGATGTTAAGAAAAGGTTACGTCCTCCTCCGGAGAGTTTTTCTTTTTAAACACTTTACACAGATTCCCCGGCCATTTTGCCAAGAGGCGCTCCGGCCCCCACC